AATGTTGTAGATAGGTTTATATGGACTTTTTGAAAGAAATAAAGCATATTTTATTTCTTCAAGTTGTTTTAAAAGAAAGTTTTAGTATAGTAGTGTGCTTACCAGTTTATCAGTCATAACTTACATACTTCAGTAATTGACTTAGCACTGTTTGCTTGAAATTATAAATTCCCTATGATTTCCTCATCATGTAGGAGTTAAAGCATTATTTCCATTTTAAGCATCCACTTAGAACAACTTGTTCAAATCACGCAGTCTTTATCTTGAGTAACTATTGCTAAACTCTCAACCAACAACTTGGCTTAATTTTGGTTTTGGAAAGTCAGCAAAATGTTTTCTGCTTCATTTATTTCTTCAGACCCAAATTCATGTTCACTTTTCCTAGGTAAATTTTTTTCCCATTTGGTACATCTTTTCCAGAAATACAAGCTAGACATTTTTCTGTAATGGCTCATGTTAGATACCACAGTTGGAAGGTTTCCACAGCACTGTATCTGCACACAGTATTACGTTTTTCCTTTACCAAACATGCACCAGAGTACTTCAGCTTAGTATTGTAAAGAAGCTTTCAGATTCATCCCATTCTAACCTCTTCAGTCCACTCAGGAGAAAAGTACGACCACAAATGGTGGATAGTTTCCTCACCATTGAACAACAAATTAAAGCTGAGATGTGACCAGAGCTTTGATGTAATTCTCGGCTCAGTGACTTTTGATATACTATGCAACCTTGCTTACAGCCTTTCAGAACTTAAGGCAGCCTTCATTCTTTTACCCAAAGAAAAACCACGTGGAATTTTATGCAAGTATCATCATTTAAAATACAGTTCGGTCAGTGGACTCTGACGTGGAAAGAGACATAAGCTTGAGAATTTCTCTAAAGTTTTTAACAGTTTAATTGATAGAAATAAGACACCGAGACCATCAGCAATGCAGAACTTGCAAGTTCTGCAGTCACACACCAGTGAAAAAGGTGATGAGCACAGTTCTTACTAGCTGACACTGAAAACAGTGAGGCTTAGCCACATTATCTTGTAAGTCAACGACGAGCAATGATGAAATTCCAGGTCATAAAAATGTCACTCTGTGGATTTGGACACTGCTGCTCCACAGAGGCGACCCGTTTTAATTATTGATCTTTATCGAGTTGCTGTGGTCAGGCAGGCAGGAAGGGAAGGTGTGCATCCTTCTCCCTCTGCTCCTACTTTGAGGCAGGAGAAGAAGAGGAGTAGAGGAAGGGTTGGAAGGGGTAATCCGTGACCGGAAGAAGAGCTGTCCCTGTGGGACGATTCCCTCCTCTGTGGGCTCCAGCCTGTTTCCGTCCATTGTCCCTGTGCCAGCTCCTCCTTCGGTGCCTGCTGTCTTTGCTGTCCCCTGGTTGTTCCTATCCATGCCAACTTGGTTGTCATTCTACAATTATTTATCAAAACCGTCCCCTGAAACCCCTTGAGGTACTACGCCAAGAGGCTTCATGTTTTCCAAGGAGAGTGCTGTAAAACTTGCGCATAAACAAGAATTACTGTCTTAGACGAGCCATCCAAGACAAATGATCTACGCTACCAAGTTCTGGCGTGGCTCTATCACTGACCATTCACTGAATTTATTTGTGAGGTCAAGCATTTTCTTACCTCATGCTCTTTCCTTCCTCCCTTCCTCATCCTCTGACATGCCTGTTCTCTCGAATATGTTTTGATCAGACATCGCTGGGGTTGCTGCCCTGTCTCACAGGGCCCTCCATCAGCCCCCGATTCAGGCTGAGTCCTGCAAGTGTGAATCGGCTGGTGGAGGACACACTGTTAATGTGACTGTTGTTCAGATCTGGGGTTAAAGGTCTGGAGAAAGGAACCAAGAACATGATCTGCTTTTCCCGAAACACAATTTTTTCACGATGGAAGTGGGGGTGTAGGAGAAGGACTAGGTACCTTCAGGGGGGATGGCTGAAGTTGTGTTATTCTCTTGCTTAGTTCCTGGGAAAATAAGAGTAGATAGACAGCCCACATGAGTGTGTGTGTCAGATGTCAGTTAAGCAGGTTACCGGGTTATCACCTTTCATCTGCACGGTACCACCATGAAGAAATGCTACATTCCTGTTTTACAGACAGGGAGACCGAGAGTCCCCTACTCTGAAGTCAATGACTGGAGTTACAGCAACAATTATTTGTCAGTCTAACGACAAGTCAGCTTTGTCTGTCTGTCTCTGAGGCTTGAATTCCTAATCACTGTGTTAAACTTATTTTAATGAGTTCACTTTTTTAAAAAAATGAATTTTATAAGCTTCTCTTCTTTTTTTTCCATTTAAACCATGGGGCTTACGTAGCACACATTTCAAGCACACATCCTTTTAAGAAGACCCCAAGTTACTTCACAGGAATGAACATTCACATAATATTAGGCTGTATGTCCCGAAAATCCCTTCCACCTCTGACAGGCTGTGATTTCAGAGAGGGAACTCAGCATTTTAGAGATGCCTTGTAACAGAAAGTGCCAAGAGAATGGGAACTCTGTTAGCTTGAGTGTGTAGCCCATCTTAAGATAGCAGATGATCTCACAAGATTTTAACAAGCGGAGCTCCTCTGAGCTGATAGGAGCTAATGCATCAGCCCACATTTTACAAACACTGTCTAAGCCCCTGATGTGCAGTTATTAGCTGTATAACCCCAAACCAGGAAATCCTCCTTTGCAGAGCCTAATTTTCTTTTCTCTGTAAAATGGCAGCCAAAGAACAGACCTCAGAATGGCTGTAACATTCAGGGAAGCACAGAGTCCCGTTTCTCTGTTCACCCCAGTCTTGTGTTTCCCATCGCTGTAGCCAGGCTGCCAATTGTATTTTTTCTCAGTCATCACTTGGTTATTAAAGATGAAATTCATTTCTTAAGATACTGTTCATTTGAAAAATCATGATGCTTGCAGTTAAGATGAGGTCCATCTTTCAGAAAGATAAGACTTTCTCATCCAATAGATAGCTCTTAGAATTTCAAGAATAATAAGGTACTTTAGAAATAATACAGATTGATCTCACTATTTTTCAGTCAGTGCTGAGGCCCAAAGAGGTTAAATTGCATCCAAGGTTATGTAGCAAACTCATGGCAACATCAAAGCGAGATCTCCTTTTTCCTTACCCCAAACACAGCTAGTGTTTGGGGGTTGAATCCTCATAAATTCAAGATGAGGATTGAAGTTAGAAGAAAAATTATTTTCACTACATTATAAAAAGACAGTTTAAGTGTAATTTTCCTGTAATCCATTGGATGATTGTTTTACATTCAATAATTGTTTTACATTACAGAATGCTAAAGAGTTAAAAAAAAATTGAAAAACCACCTTAGCTTATGGAATCCAGCAGACCTGCATTCAATACATTCCTTGGCCATGTGACCTTGAAACACAAACTGTTCCAATTTTCTTATCTATAAAATGAGAATAACGATCACAGCTTTCTATGTATTAGAGTATTGAATAATACGGTCTACTCAAGTGCGGTGCGGACTGAGTCCCTGGTCCTCCTACCACGAGTGTCCACTTCTGATGGCAACAGAATTAGCAGGACTCAGCATGAGCAACCTCAGCCATCACCACAAAGACCTTGTTTAAGGGTGAGTTGGTGCTTGTGGAAAGAACAGGATCTGATTTCAGGTCAAGGACAAACAGACACATTGCAGCTTGGAGTTGGTGACTGTTCCTTCGGTAAATTCTCCCCCACCACAGACTGACGTGGGACAGCTGAGGAGTGAACTCGTTCTTCTAGAGCATGGGATTTTACTGACTATGACCTCAAGAAAGGCGCTTGTAAGTCACAGAAAGAGTATTTTTCTGTTGCCTTTGGATAAATAAATATGATACTTATTGATGATTAGTCTATGGCATATGAAACCTTCAAGGAAGAGATTAATGTGGGATAATATCAATCCTCTAAATGACTGAATAAATTAGAGGCAATTTCTGTTTTGTAATTCTCCCATTAAAAGGGATTTAATAAAATCAAAGATAAACATGTGCAAGAGTGTTCATCGGTGTTTGTATAAAGGATCTTGCTGAATAACATGGTGTCCAATGGAAAATGCCACTAGGAGAAGCACTTTTTAAAAAATATACTCTTTTATTTGAATAATCATAGTAGTACATTTTTCACAGAATATTGCACTATTAAGAATAATTGAGTCTTTTGAATGATTATACCTGGTGTGCTAGAGATTCAATCTTTGCTGTTTCAATATAGGAAATTTTTTAGTAAACCATAAATTCCACAGTTCCCCTTATAGCAAAAAATCTAGTTTCTATTTGGCTAGAGCTTGTACCAATAATAGCCTTTTGATAATCTCTTTTCAAAAATCTCTGTTTACTTACATTTACTGTGTTGGTAAGAAAGTAAGGTTTATCATCATAGAACAATCAATTCCTGTAGCTCAGTGATAGTGGAATCTAGAAAGGACAGAGAATATGTTGCAAGGAAATACGCTAAAAATATTTTGAAAGTGGGTTCAGTAAAATCTTGTAAATTAATCCGATATGGAATCTTAAGTCAGCTCCCAGAAGATGAGTTGACTATACCCTCTAAAAATTTAATGTGTGATATAATAATGAATATGTAGAATCTGGCAAATATTTGACCACTTGTTTCTTTTTTTGATAATAGTCTTTAAATATTGCAATAGATCCTAGATAATTTTTTATCTTTGAATTTGAATAGCTACAAGTTCTGAAAAAAGCAAGAAGAAAGACAGAGAGAGAGAGGAAGAGAGAGAGAGAGAATGACCAATATTTAGAGTAGCTATTTTACTTTAGCTTGATTTCTAAAATCTCAAACTGAGAGGATACAGCGCTTGTTGTTCCATTTCAGAAGTAAGACAGGAGTTTCACTCAGTCATTCTGCAAAAGGAGACATGCCCATCGTGAGCCATATCCCAGACCCCTCAGAAGGCTTCATACATCTGTGTGTCTGTCAGCACTTTTTCTCGTTGTTTGTCTTTCTGGCCAGAATGATGCTGTCCCTACTTGCCTATTGTGTCTAAATTGTTTTTACTGCTGTGTAAATATTTCAGAATTTGGAATATTTCTACTGGAAATCATGTCATCTTTAAGAAATTTGAGCATGCAAGGGGTACATGTTATCTTCAGTTGTGATGAGTTGATTCATTGCCGGATGCTAGTTAGCCAAAGATAGAAGCAATTTTTATGCTATTAATCATGTTTCCTACAAGCTTAACAGTAGTTTTCCAAAAAGGAAAGTTGCATCAAATATTTTATCCCTGTGGTCATCTTGGTGTTTGCAGAGTGCTTCAGTTTCTCCTGAAGGTGGATCACAAGAGTGCTATGGATCTGTTGGTTCATGGTTTCTAAGAAGGGAGAAGAGATGGTCATAGTCACATGTGCAACCTCAAGGGAAACCATTAAACATTAGCTGGGAAGCAAGATGAGTATTTCAAAAGTTAACGAATGTTCTCTTTAGCTGTGGGTTTTGTCTCACTCACCGTCATGGTGTGAAGGGGGAAGAGACTGTGTTCTGTGATCTGTGACTCTGTGGGAGGGATCAGTACACTTCGTTCTCCGCCTGACCTTCAGTCAGTATTGCAGAAGACTTGGCATGCTTTGGGAGCTTCCGTGAAGGGAAGGTGAGTTACACTCACTTACAAGTTGCTCACCCCGAGTCACAGGCTGTGTTGGACACTGAGGAGATAAAGGAACTTCACCTCTTCTGGAGCACAGCTGACAGACAAAATGAGCAGGTCTTCACCGCATGGCATAGGCAGTGACCGCTCTGGGGCTGGTCCAAATGCTGTTCTGTCTGCTTAGGGATTCCAGATGAATCACCCTCCTGGGTCTGTTTCTTCATCTGAAAAGTGGACTGGTGGTGGCAATGTTTCCTGGAGAAGGTTATCATTAAGGTCGACTAAGAAAGAAGGTGAAAGTCCCCACCAGCTTCCCGTAACGGGGCAGCAGTCCCTCCCGTCCTCTCTGCCGTCCCTCTGTCCGTCATGATGGTCCATCTGAATGTTCCACCTGATGCCCTGGGGAGCACTGCCAAGGCCGAAAAGAGAGGTGCACGCCAGGCCCTCCTCCTTCGGTCGCCCTCCAAAGTCAGTCTGGTTTCTGAGATGATGAGGCATAGTTACACTGGTGAATCTAAACTCGCTGAGATCACAGGGCTGGAAAAATTGTTGCGAGTCTCAAGGCAGGTGTGGAATGATCATCTCCAGATGTGATGTGCAGCTGGAAAGATGACAGCAGAGTCTGTTCCCATCCTGGCTGTTTGGGTTCATTGTATTGACAACCGCAGCTGGAGCCACTGGCCACAAAGAAACAGGACAAGAGCACAGAGGGAAAATCCTGCAGTCCCCTTTCATGCATGCCAATAAAAATGTATCAGTGCGCTCTGAGAAAAACAGAACACAATCACAATGGCTCTTGAAGGAAGAAGCACTAAGCTCATAGACGTTATGTTAGGAAGTAAAAAGGTGGTAGAGTGGGCTGGGCGAGTCTGGGGTCCCTGGAATCAGCTCAAATCTTAACTGTCCCACTTAAAACTTGTTTGAAATTGTTATGAGGTTTAAGCGTGGAGTTTCTTTCACATTTTCATTCATTCATCAAGCTAGTCAATGAAACCATTAAATACCTACTCTATGCGAGACATTGCTGCAGGACTCATCTTTGAATTCTTTTTCTCCAAAGGGCTATTTTAGGCTTTCGGGCGTTGCGATCTGTTTCAGATGCTCAGCTGGGCTGCACAGTGTGGAAATGGTTGTAGAGACCTGATATGGGCCTGCTGTGCTTTAATGTAATGTTGGGCTTGGCCTGTGGGGTATAGTTTACCATTCCTACCTGTTATAAGTGCTAAACAAAACCCATAACTTCACAGTGGTTTCATTTCAGTGGAAAAGATAGAACAAACACAAGTGAATGAAAAACAAGGTAAGCACAAGAGTCCTTTCTCTGATCGGTACAGCATGCTTGCTACCCTCCTCGGGCACGCTGCAGAGCAGGGACTTGCTGGGTCCTTCTGGAAGTCATCTATGCAGAGAGAATCTCAAACTCTGGGCTTCTAGGAGGGTCTGCTTTTGAGTTGTATGAGTTTGAGTAAGGAAAAGGAGAACTCAGAATTTGTAGCTGCCACATTTTCCACCTGTGCTGGGTCTTACGCTGCGGTTAACCCTTCTTTATCCTTCTCCTCTTTAAGAGCTAAAGGGGACACAAGAATGCACAGAAAGAGCCTCAAACTGAGTCACCCCACCGCAATCATCAGGACTACATCCAGTGGAGAATGCCTTAAAGGACCACCGTATAACAAAGGGATCGACTTGAGTACTTCAGTTCCATTTATCTCAAATCAGTTCATACGGAGATAAAGAAACAGTCTCCTAGAAAGGCTGACGATTGCATGTATTGGTTTTGGGAATTGGCAAATGTTTTAAAGTGGAATAGATTTCAATCTTAAAGTAAATGACTATATTTTACATTTTTATAAATAGTACTTTCAGAGTTCAACACAAAAACATACATTACTCGTATCCACTTGTATATCGCCTCCTATATCCGGGCACATTTAACTTTTCCAGTCTCCTGAAGGCTGGGTGATACTACTGTTCCCACTTTACAGATGACGCAAAGGAAGAAGATGGGCTGCCCAACGGTAGACTGCAAGGAGCCACAGCCCCGGGATCGTGGCCCCAAGCACAGACGTGCTGCATGATTCCAGACCCATTTCTCTCTTCAGTTCTAGTAACACACTGAGAAGTGGGTGGGTCCTGCACGGTGTTAGTGCTTGAGTACAAAACCGCTTATGCATGAATGAACAACTTGAATGTTTTTCTACTTTAGCAAATGTTTTTCTAGAAAGCTCCTTTAATGGTGGTCTCAATTAGATTAGCTTAATTAATATCTGAATTACATACTTTAGGCAAATCAATTTTTTTTTTTTGGTACTGGGGATCAAACTCACAAACCCATGCCCACCAGGTAAGTGCTTACGCCACTGAGCTAAATCTCCAGCCCCCGGCAAATCAGTTTTGAAGGCAGTGGATCGAATACTTCTTTATGTCCATCTGATAATGAACATTGTCATGGTTTGTATTTGGAATTCCTGAAGAATTTAGCGGTGAGTTTTCAGCTGAAAGTTCTCCATAAGGCTGTAAGGAAAAATTGCATGTTTTCTACCACTTGGTAATTTGGATGATGAAACAGAGTGAAAACTTGAGATGCAAATGGAATTAAACAATTTCTGGACACAGGTTGTTCAGATTCGTGTGGCTGTTGCTATTCTTACGAAAAAAGTAAACCAATGGAATTAAACGGCTGAGGAACAAACTGCAAAGCCTACAAACACTTTACGGCCTCCTGATCCCGCCACTGAGCCCGGCCCTGCCTGCACACTGGACCCGCCCTCCTCCTCTGCTGGAGCCTTGGCCTGCTTGGCTCTGCCCCATGTGCCCGGCTCCGGTCCCTGCCCTCTGCCCCCTGTTTGGGGCAGCCTTCCCTGCTGCTCTCAGCTGTGCCCTGCCCGGCTCGATTCCCTCACTGTTTGTTTTGTGCTTTTTTTTTTTAATTATCGTCTGCTATCTCTTGTGGCGTATTTGTTTCTTGTCTATTTCTGCTTCTACAGAGGGAACTTGCTGAGAATAAGGATATTTTTTATTTAGTGATGAATCCTTCACATCAGAAAAGTGCTTGGTAAATATTTGCTGAGCGAATGAACCAAAAGAGAAGAGTTCAAATGCATGCCATCCTTTGCAGACTTGCAGTTAGGGCTGAGAACTGTCACAGTGACCACTGGGTGGCCACAGCTGCCTTCCACATCGGCATGGAGTCTGGTTCCCTGCTGACCTCAGGGTGCCAGAGCCCTGTGTGACACTGTTTTCCTGAATGGAGAGGGTCATATTGTTTGCTTGTCCAAGAGCCATGAGATCTGTCAGGTCATAGCTACCAGGAAATTCATTCTCATTGATTTTCTCCAAGTGTTTAGGGGCTGCAGCGAGTGCTCTGAGGGCCCTGCCGCCACTGGACGGGCTCAGGTGCACTGGAGGAGACAGAGAGGAAATCACAGTTCCTGCTAATTAGTGCTCTGATCAGATCCAAAGGTCGGATCACGTACATGAAGGGCATCCAAGGGCAGCTTGTAGGAAAGAAGTGTCCCCAGCAGGATGAAAACATTTTGAAGAAAATTAAAGATAATCCTGTTTGAGATGAAAGTCTTTCCAAGAAGAGAAAGCAGTATGTAGAATGTACAAGAGCTTAGAGAACTTGGTACATTTGAGCCGTAAGTACATTGCGGCACCTGGAGGAAGACGTGCTGGATGGGAGAAGAAAGAAATGAAGCTTGAGATGTAGATAGTGCTTAACACGGCAAGGCACAAAAAGAAAATGCCAGAAATGGGTATCTCTCAGTCTGTGGTGGGTTTTCAAGGGAACTTCCAATGGAAGGTCAGGGCTTATAGGGTGTTATTGTTCTGTGTGATTCAGAAAGTATAACACATACATATTTAACTGTAATAACTTATCATCATATATTATATAGTGTGGATTTTCATTACATGCAGGTACCATGTCAGGGTCTAGAGATTCAGAGTTAAAAAGAGCAGTTCACAGAAAGGAAACACTTTATATGTCCATCAGTTTACATTTGGAAAGTTAGGAAGTCAATCAAGATACAAATGCATACAGGCTAGCTTGAGGGACATGAGACTGGGGCCCCGGGAGACAAAAGAACTCCACATTTAGCTTAACGCATTGTTGGTCCCTTGGAGGCCACTGAGCTGGAAATTGCACTGATTAATCTAGAGTGATCTAGATAAGCAAATGATGCCCCGAGGTCCGAATCTAGCCCCCCCTCATTATTTTGCATCTCTGTGAGCTATAAATGAGAAGGTTTTGCATTCTGTATAGAAGAGAATAAAATCAAAGGCAGACTAGCATTTTATGACATTCCAATTGTGTGAAGTTCATCTCTGCATCCCTAAACTGCCATGAGTACACAGCCACCCACTTTTTGTTGTTGTTTCTGTATTATTTGTGGTTAGTTTTACAGTACTGTGGTACATGTGCAAGACAGAATAGCTTGTAAGACCTGAAATATGTAACCAGAACCTAACCTAACCTAAAAGTTCACTGGCCTTGACTGAGGGGATAACCTACCATCTCAATGGTTGAATTAGCTAGTTTAGCTTCTCTGTTTGGTGTCACAGTTCTTTCTCTTTTTGACTCTGGACAGCATAAGGCTTAAACCCACTGTTGGAGCGCGAGGGTTTCGGGATATGTGATCCCTGTGTGTCCCTCCACCACTGTCTGTCTGTCCTGTATCCGGGGCAGCCTAGTAAGTGCTACACACGGGGCACCCCAGAATATTTCACAGGCGTAGAATGCTGTGGGATGCGTGTGATGTGTTCTCAGTCTCGCTTTCCTTTCCAGGCTGCGGTCACAAGGGCAAGAACCGGCTCGCTACAGGGAGCCTTGCATTGCTTCGCGGGCAGAGCGCTATGTTCTTGCTCCGTCCTTGTTTACTGCAGCGAAATCAGCACACAGAGGCTGCTGCTTAGCATAACGCTGTCCCTGGCAGCCTAACTCCTTTAGGAGTAGAATATTTACCAGTGGACAAATTCTTGAAGTATGTTTGGAAGTTCTGAGATGAAAGACTAGTGATAACAAGCAATTTTTAATCTTAAGACTCAAGGCAAAAAAATAAAAACTAAGGCAGCAAAGTATGTGAGCCGCCCTTGCCAGTGGCCTGGAGGCCCCAGCACGCCCAGATGCCCACGTGGAGCAGGGCTTGTTTACAGCCTGCAACATCGAAAGCTTTATTTTTCCGTCCTTATTTCTAAACTGATGTGCTCAGCCGTTATCTGACATCGCCACAGGATGTTTAATAGACAGCTAAAAACAGCTGAGCTGAGAGCCCGAACTCTGATCTCTATCTGCGTCAACCACAGTCTTCCCTGCCTTGATGGCACGATTATCACAGTGGCTTGAACTGAAAACCGGCATCTGTTCCAGCTTTCAGCCCCTCATTACTTATCTCCTTCTCCCATCTAACTCATGAGCACATCCTTTTCTCTGCCTCTGTGCTGTGCCTGATACCATTGCTTTTCTGTCCTGCGCATCCTTCCTCATCCCGGGCCTCCCCGGAGTCCCTCTGGACCATTCCTGTGGGCTTCCCACTCTTATGCTGACCCTTCTCGTGGCAGAATGATCTTCAGAATATGCAAAAATTATAGAGAATAATGTAATAAATACCTGTGTGTCTATGACCTATGTTTTGAAATAAACACAGTCTCCTAAATGCCTTGATCACCATTCTTCTTCCCCCTTTTTCAAAAGTAATAATTTTCTTTAATTTAATAAATATCATTATCACTAATATGTATATGCTTTTGCTTTATATGTTACTAGGCAATATATGCTCATATTGTTGTGCACAGTGCTAACTATGTAAATGGTATCACACTGTTGGAATCAAGTTCTTTTTCCCTCTGGGATTTATATTTGTGAGATTACTTGGCTCGTTTTCGTTTCAGTGCTGTATAATTTTCTGTAGATAATCATGGCACCATTTTATTTAGTTCTTTCCATGTTAATTAATGTTGAGGTTGTGTTCGAGGTTTTAGTGCATGCTAACAAAACATAACATAGAGTTTTATGTTTTATGTTCACACGGGCAAGGGTTTCCCTAGGGCAGTGACTTTTAAATATCTCTGAATGTGTCTTAAGCAAGAAATGTATTTTATGTCATGACTGCTGAGTACTGGGTTTACAATATCGTTACATAACTGAGGATGAAATGTCAGAAATAATATTTATCTTGACAACTTTCTGTGTGTTCTAACTTCCATACGCTTTTCTATGTTATATTATGTTTTTCTGTTTGATTCTAATTGATAAAAGTGTTACTCTTCATTGACAACATTTTATGTTTTTTTTTAAATGGGTCAATACTCCCAATCTGAGACTCTTTATTCTTTGTTATATATGAGCAATAGAATTGTTGTATCGGTATGTGTTCCTAGGACCTTGGGGATGGCTATATAAAACTGTAAGTGTTCATATGACCTTAGATATTATAAGATTACCACACACTTACTTGTTCTCGGTGCTGTCTGACTTTTCAGTGTTTGCCAGTTTGATAACTGTAAGTGCCATCCTGCCCTGATGCCCACTGCTGTGATTAGGGTGAGTTCTGAGCATAGTTTGCATGTCTTATTTTAAAACCCAGCAGACACATCACAGAACAGTTGGATAAAAGTCTGTCTTCCTCCTCGATGCCCAGCAGTCTTAGTGATCTACCAGTTTGGCCCTACCCTGCCTTGCTCTCGTCCTGAATTCTTCTCCTTCTGTTCTTCAGCCCGGCAAGGTTATTTCTATTTCACTGGTCTCTAAAATTATTCCTTCCATATCTTTTCTGGCTTAAGGTAAAGTACTACCCCTGCAGAAGGTTTCCTGTACCTTAGAGACCAGCGGCCTTCCCTACACTTCACGTCCATGCGCGGCCCTCACTATAGTCTCTGACACACTTGCATCAGACTGCTGTGGGTGAGGTACAGTCTATGCATGTCCCCTAATCGTTCCTGCTTCGGTAACATGGCCCCACACTTGGTGTGCAGAAGTGCTGTGGAGCCATTAGGCGGCTGAGGTCAGTGGGCTGTGTCTTCAGAAAGGCTGTAGGCCTGGTATCTCCGACTTTCTAGTTGGTACCATGGTCTTGTCCCGTGGGATGGGCTTTTGTCATCATCTGCCAAATTGCAAGGATGCAGCATGGGGTGGGGGCTCAGCAGAACCTCTGCCTCTAAATATGTAGGTATACTTAGCCTCTCTGGCACTTTATTATAAGAAATAAAAACGGGCCAGCCTGAGTATGCCCTCAATTTCCATTTTAGCGTTGAAGCATCCACCCTAACACAATGCAGGTCGAGCAGTAGAAAGTGAGCTGTGCCTGGGGAGGAGCAGTCAGCGATGCCGGAGGAGAGACCGTCTCACGGCAACTGTTGGAGACAGGGCCAGGAGCTGAGCACATGCGTCCTGTCAAAGAGGCAAGCATGAAGGCACCAGAGGAAGGTTCAGTCCCGCTGTGACTGAGGACCAGGCTGGCTCTAGCAAAGGCAAAGTGGAAACTAAACACAGATTTTTATCCAAAAAGGAAAAAGGCACGGGAGTCTGCTCAGCTGATGCTTTGACTCTTAATATGTACCTTCTCTCTGTCTCTCTCTGTCTCTGTCTCTGTCTCTGTCTCTGTCTCTGTCTCTGTCTCTCTCTCTCTCTCTCTCTCTCTCTCTCTGTCTCTCTCTGTCTCTCTCTCTCTCTCTCCCTTTGGTCAAGTTAGTAATCTAATCTAGAGCTCAAAATCCTTAGTTTCACCACCTGTATTTTGTATGATGGGTAAAAGATACCTAAAAGAATCAATAAGATCCTGAATCAGGTCTGCTTTGTTGTCTTTATATACACAGTGCCCGTGATAATGCCTCCTGAAATGTGCAAAAATATTTGCGGCATTGAAAAGCTGATTTTTATTTATTATTTCAGAAAGTATGCAGTGAATTTATTTTATGTGGCCATGCCATGGGGTGATGAAGATCATAACCAGATGAATTCACAGTACACACCATAGTTACTCTACGTATCTGGTTCTGTGAAAGAATGAAGGTCGCCTGACCCTTTTAGGGGAGGGGAAGTAACACATCAGTGGTTCTTCCTGGGAAAGGTCAGGACTACCTCGAGTTTTGACCACTGATTGAGTGTTAAGGCAGAGAAGATGGTGAAGAAAGAGCATCTTCAGTAGAGAACAGCATTATGAGTATGTGAGCTAAACAGTGCTGGATACAGCTGAAGGAGGAGCATTATCTCACATACAGAACATCCTCCTAGCCATGCTGACGACTTGGTGGCCAATAAAGAGCCACTGAAAGGTTTAATCAGAGCATAGTGAGTGAGATGTGCTTTCAAAGGTCACTTCTGCATCAAAATGATGATGGGTTCAAGGAATCAAACATTAATGGAATAAACTACAATTCTGGTTAGGATGAAGGAATTTGCAGGAGATCAGAACTTCTACTATGGCAAGAAGAAAAATCTCCAGGAAAATCACATACTCATAATTATTTAAAATGTAGTAAAGATCTAGGGAAGCAAAGAAACTAAATGAAACTAAATTCCAAAACAAGATAAGCCTTTCCAAGGAGAATAGCAACTCACGGCTGCTTTCAACCCAGTGGAGGGTATGGAGAGCCGCGACCCACCATGCACATGGGGGAAGAAAAACCAGCAAAAAGCTCAATGAGCAGGGGACCAGGCGCGGAGAGCTCCAGCCACAAGGACATCTCTACCTACACAGCTAGGTTTCTACGGACACTCCCGAGGGCAGAGACACAGAAGGCTGAAGTCCAGGGTTATCGGAGGAGCTTAGTAAGGGCCCCTGAGGTACAAGTCTCACTTCTCAGGAACAAAGAGGCAGCTTATGGAAAGCTTGGAGTGCGTAGAATTGTGAAATTTGAGCAGAACACACAGGGCTTTTACTGAGCACAAAGCGAGGTTTGCAGAACATTCTGTGCGGGGTAGAAGGCCGCTAGAGGTACTTCCTGCAGCTCAGCCAGCCTTCAGGGAGCTGTGTGAGGCCCACAAAGGCTGGCAGAAGGAAGCAAGAGAGAAGAGATATGCTGACCACACTTAGAGAAGGAGCCCTGAATGCAAGAACCCAGGGACTTAGAATGCAGGAGACCCAGCTGTGAAACAGGGAGAGCTCATGTGGCCTGAGAAATCTGAAGGCTGAGTTACAAAGCAACAAGTGTCTTCCAGAGCTGGGCATCGCGCAGATTCCACGTGGTACTCAAGAGAACAGCCTGTTCCTGGTCACATAGAAGCCACATTTGGTCACATTTGGTCACATTTGAAGCCAGTGGTGAACTATCTAACTCTAATCAGATTTGCAGCAAAATCCAGGTGCAAACTATAATTTAGATAGTATTAGCCTCAGCTTGCCTCTTTCTATGCATACCACTTATTGAGGGTGGACCATAGAGAGCTCAGACTGCATGGGGCAAATGTCCTTAACGCCATTGGTCTTTTACATACAACATTTGACAGAAAATTAAAAGAATTATACAAAACTGCCAAGAAATATGGACATGTGATTGAGAGAAATCAAAATACAAAGTCTGTACCAGCACACAAAGATGACTGACTGGCATTGATTCTCATGAATAGTCTTTGTGGTATCTTTATTCTTTTTTAATGCCTATTTGTAATGCAGAATAGTGATGTTTATTTGAGGGAATTGATTCAGGAGTATAGCATATCTTAATTATTTTTAATCCTTTTGCCCTCCCATTTTCTTTCCTGTTAAATATTACATGTTTTCTCTTATATGAGAAACCTAAGATAGAAATGAGTAAGATGCAGCACAGGATAACAGGATAGGAAAATAGAGGGTAGATTGTTGGAGATGGTAAAAGGAATCTTTATTTTTGAGAATAGCTACGATTTTTTAAGATTACGATGAAAAAAGTATACTTTCAGATCTAGAGGCATATTTGAATAACATGCATAACCATGTGAATTTATGTAAGAAAAGAGAAATTATAAATTAAATGTTAGACTTGAAAATTAATGTATCAGAATTAAGTAATGTGTTTGGTGACCTCAAAAGAATACTAAGTGTGAAAACAGGTCAATAGAAATTGTTCAAGTTGAAATAAAAGAGAAAAATGGTTAAAGACATGAACCATGCATTCATAGTATGTTGTACAGTAGAAGACGATCTAAGATAGGTAGAACTGGAGTCCCAGAAGAGGAGGGAAGGGGATTAGCAAACAGGAATTGTTGAAGTTGGAAGAGCAGATTTCTAAAATAGCTGAAAGTTACCAGTCCACAGGTGCAAGAAGATACTGGAACACTACACACCACAAATATGAAGACCGTACCAAGTCGCATCAAAATCAAACTTTGAAAATAAGATAAAAATATAAAATCTTAACAACCAGGAGTGGGGAAGAACATACAAGAAGAAAAATAAAAATGACAGACGTCTTCGTTGTAGACAAGAAAACAACAGACTACGTTTAAAGCACTAAAAGAAAAAAGGGATCCATTAAAAATCAATGCCTTCGTCACCTGCTGTTACTGGGACCCAACAGCCTCATCCACACTTTAAAGGAAAGAAAGCTCATCTTGACCCGTGTTCTAGATGTTTCAGTCCTCGGGTGGTCACAGACATGGGTCAGTCATGACCCGAGACCTAGGCAGAGAAGGGCTACGTGTGTGCTGGCATCCGTGAAGTGAAAGAGAAGACAGGAGTGGGACAGAGCTGTGCCATTTCAGGTGCACCCCAGGGAGCCCCTTCTTCAGACCAGGCTCCGCCACCTTACAGTAAGCTAAACTCACCTAACCCTACCATCTTATAGAAGCTATAATGGGGGGCACATGGAGCTCTGCTGAGACACCTAGATACAAACTGTAACATATAACATACTTTAGAATATAATTTATAAGTAAAAATATCCTTCAAATATAAGTCAGCCTGAAGATCTTTTTAGACTGACAAATGTTAAATGGTTTCCTGAAGACCTGCTCTATAAGAAATCCTAGAGGAAGGTCTTCAGGCGGGAGTGAGTAATAGTCAGCAGGCTGCAGGAAGGAATACAGGGGCGGATGTTTTCTAAGCCTTTAGAGAATGATGTTCACATGCTCGGTGTTTATACCCACATGCAGTAACCTAACTCATCCATTTTAATATGAAGACAGGAGGAAGAAAAGATGGTCGAAGAGCTCTAACATGCAAATAATAGGCACAAGGAAGCTGGTGAAAGTTTATTAACTGTACAAACGGACCTCAAGAAGCACTGTTAGAG